TTCGCGATGGATGAAAGACCTGATACTATGTACATACATATATATATATATATATATATATATATATACATACGTATATATACATACGTATACTTTCTTCGAGAACGTTTCGCGCATCGACGAATTTCGCTCGAATTTATTCACCCATTGTTCCGCGCATTCGTTCTTTCCCTCGTATACACACACACACAGACACATATGCATACACACAGGCGTACGTACGTACGTAGATAATACGCAAGACGACGCGTACGTTTCTTTTTTCAAATCCGAAATGTTGTTCCCCCGTAATAGCGTCGCCGGCTTTTTTAATTCGTTCCGTATAGCATTTCGCGTGCATTATATGCACGCGAACGTCTTAACGGACTGTGGAAACAATCCGCAGCCCGAGCGTATAAATAGCCGATGACAATGCCGGGACAGAGAGATGAAACGCCAATAAGTGCCTTTCACTTTTCAAGAATGAAGACGACTTTATAGCATACTCGTGTTATACACGAAGTGAAACGCTATAAATAAACTCGCGTCTCGGGAGGGACTCGCGCTTTTGTACAATTTTGTACAAACCGAGGCGGGGAAAGAAAAGGAACGGCGTCCCCGCGTTTCTTCAGCCCCGGAACGCGGCAAGCAACGCTCGAGCCGGGTTGGAAAGGTGTTTAATTTATGCCTTCCGCGTATCCTTTGTTCCGCGGATGAATTCGACCGCTAATAAAAACCATCGGTTCGACGTTTACGCATCGACGATTCCTCCCCGCACCCCCTCTTTCTCGGAATCGTCATCGGCGCGACACAAGAAACAACGGCGAAAAATGCGAAAGAAGCGGAAAAAATGTCGGAACCCAGGAAAAGGAGTGGAAACCTTTTCTCTCTCTCCCTTTGTATTTTGTCCGCTTCTGTTAGCACCGAAGCAGAAATGCGAAAGAGAAAGTGTAGGAGAGGCGATAACGCGGTGTTGCGTCACCTTTAATCCGCGCGAATAATAAATTGTAACGTGTTTCTATCTTTTCCCTCGACGAAAAAGCACGGTGGGTAAAGTAGCGAGTAAATAGTTACGCGTAAAGATACGCGTTTCGATCCGGCAGTCGGTATTTACAGGGAATAGTTGTTGTATAGTAAGTAAGTAAGTAAGTACTTTCGAAAGTGAAAAGGATTACTACTAAGGAGTAATAATATTTAATTGGACATATTCTTATTCAAGCGTGGGGAAAAAGAGGGAAGGAGGAGGAGGATTAGGTAGAGAGCGAGAATTTGGTGGGATCGTGTACGTATATGCGCTGGAGTTGGGCGCATAATTCGATGCGCGTCGATCGGCGGGAAGCGGCATGCTTTAGATGGACACGCTCGATAGAGACGTAACAGGTGTGGACGGAGCGGGAGCGGGAGCAAGAACGTGGCCACACGTCCGTTAACCCTCGGACTTTTCGAGAACGAGACGCGACGACAGCGCCTCTCGTTCCCGAGAGAGAACGGCGAATGTCGTGGGACAAATATACCGTTTGACACCTGGAGGAAGACGCGGACAATGGCAAGGTTTGGGGTAAGGTCCCCACTTTGTCCGAGGAATAATAAAGTTCCCGGTGCAGAAGGGATTCGGGATATCGGACGGTAGGTCCCTCAAAGATCGCTTCTCGGAAACGTGTCTTTGTTGGCTCGGGCTTGCGGTTCCGAAGGGGACACACTCGAACGCTTTTCAAACTGCGACCCCCTACAGCGATTTCCATCTTGTACTTCGTACCGTGTTTCTAGATTTATCGTGGAATAAACAACCGCTTCGTGGAAACGTTATTACCGGGTGACGTGACTCCGGCCGCCGTGCTCACAATACCACCGCGATCGCTTCTTTACCCTCCCTTTTTCATGAATATCGGCCGACAATCGGTTCGTTTGCCACGCTTCGCCGGGACAATTGTTTTACCTGGAAACCTGTTACGCTTTTGACAAACTGTACAATTTCTAAAACGCAAAGTAACACGCCGGCTTTTCAACGTTTATGTGGAAAACCCTCGTCTCCTACGATACGTATACCCTCGTATCTCTACCTACGTATCTTTCTCCTCCGCGACACGAATTTTCTTTCGAATCGAATGTGTTACAATAATATATGGCGATACTAATGATATTAACCAATCGGTTTAACACGCGTATATTCCTACGATGACACGCTGGAAAGATAAATGTAATGTACCGTATTAGAGACGAGAAGAACGAATACGCTTCCAGGTATTCGAGTCGAGTTAGGCACAAAAAAAAAAGAAAAAGTAGCAAGAAATTGCATCAGTCTGCACGAATGTCGAGAATGCTATTCAAATCGTGAAAGCGTGACTCACAACATCGAAGTAAAACCATGGGAAATTCCTCGACATTTGCTCTGTCTTGGTGTTCGCAAGACGCAGCAATGCTATTTTTCCTCCTTATATCTCATCGACACGACGTTAAAGCTTGAAAATAGGAAATACGCCGTATAGACATCGCGAATAACGTATTAATCGCGATTCGAATCAATTCGATTAGACGCATCGTTTAACCTTCGTTCATCTTTCGAAACGAACGCATGCTCGAGATTCTTACGAGTTTGTATTTCGATCGTCTAACTATTTTTTTTTTTTGTCTTTGTCGTTATCTTTTGTTGTTATATTTTTAAGAAAATCGAAGTAAAAAAGGAAATAGGCTTGACTACTCACCATTCGATGCTTCTGTATCCTCGCAGGCAGCAATGAAGTGCTTTGAACGCTCCGATATTTGCGTATTCCGTTGTTACGACTTCTTTCGTAAATCTGAGACCACCAGGTGGTAAGTTGTCAAACTTGTGTATCGAACAGTAGTCTTTTAATTCGTTGGCCCGACACAGAACAGTCAAAAGCGACAAGATGATTAATCCACGGTTTAACGATGTCGTCATCTTGAGATTTCGACGAGAAAGCAATTTATCAAGACGTTGAAAAAACATTTTAGACACGACGCTTTTCAAATCCGAGAACCTCCATTATCGGATTCCTAGAGTGAAAATTACGTCCCAACGGTCCAGGCTAAACTTTTCCGTAAAGGAAAACCGATCTCTTCCAGCCGGCACCGTTAACGTCCAAAGGACAAATACGCGGACTTCTGTATCTACGTACACGTACCTTCACCGATCCGCTCGATGTTTGTCGTCAAACATAAACTTTCGTCTACTCAAGAATACTGCGTGTTTACTCGGGATTTCAAACAGCTCTCGTCCCGCGTTTTTTTCGCGTTAACCGATAAACTGTTTAACCGTTCAGTCACCTTCCGCGAAATCCATTTTATTTTTTCTCCCGTCCTATTTTCGACATCGCTGCTCAATTATGCGGGGAGGGGGAGGAGGGACAACTTTTTCGACATTTGCACGATCACCAATAATTTTAACCAATCATATATATTTATATATATACGTTATATATACGTTATGTATCGCGTCAATGGTCAATGGTCACAAAGTATCCCGTGATTCGACACTTTTTCGACGATCTTTCCAATATTACGTCACTCGCAATAATCACGATACCGCACATCAAAATTCAACCGTATAAATGATGCGTGGCGTTTCCGAAAGGACGAAAACGAACGAAATCGACACCTAGAACGATCGTAACGAAACGTTCGTTTTTCACCGAAAAGAAACCGTCGATACGTAGAAACGATGCACACGCTCCGAACGCCGACGGCTTACTGTCAGCCCACTGCTTTGAAAACTCCCCGTAGACCACGGGTTTAAAACGAGCCGCCTGTTGCCTCGTGCTCGTTCGGCTGCTTTCGGCTCGCTTCGGACATCATCGATGGAACCGTACCGACCGTACTACGGTCACACGTAATCGTTAGTTCTATCCCCAAAAAACATTGATGATTCTCTTCTTTTCTTATATATATATATATATATTGCACATTCGAAATCTTTAAAATTGTACGCGAGATAAATATTCCGCATCGTTTACGATCGAATTATGATTAATCGACGAAGTTGACTTTCATTTTCTGATCATATTTATTCTCAATTTTTAGAGAAAAGTGTTACTCTGTTAAATCTCTACTAACTAATCGATAAATCGATAAATCGATACATTTTTTATGAGATTCTCGTTTCAACATCAACTCGATGCAAACTTCATTAAATAGTTATTCACGTGAGTAGTTATTTAGTTTGCTTCGTCATATTATTAATGTTATTTTTGACGTCAGAATATACTATGCGAATTTTGTTGAGGTCGATCGAAAATCTTCTATTTTGCACGCTATTACACTTTCTTATTTATAAGAGTAAAGTTTTCGTAAGAAAATCGTTCGAAAGCTGGAAGTACACGTTCGTAAGTGGTTACTCGTCTTATTTACCTTTACTTACTCAATTCGAAGAGCGTATATACATACAGATAAACAAATAATCAAGAAATCTTTGCATTTTTTGAACGCAATATTTGATAATACAAATTATATATATCCAGAAAAATAGGACGTGATAACCGTTTTTACTCGAAACGACGCTTCGATACATATGTAAATACGTCGCATCGATTTCGAAAGAAATTAGATTAAAACACAAGAATTTCCGTGAATACGATAAACTTCGAACGTACGTATATATACTTAACAACGTTGCGGACAGATAATTTTTGTTCGGATAAAGTTTTGTTCGAGGTAATTGGATAGTGCGATATCTCGATTCGACGAATTAATATCAATCTTTCGGGAATTTTCTTAATCATAGAATTATTTCGAGATTTGATATATCTACCGATATATCGCGTAGCAGATATATATATATACCCTATCAATTTCTTATTTTACACTCGGGCGAGCATATTTTCCCCGTTTTTTTCCGCGGGTGTCGCCTCTAATACTCCGGTCGGTTCCCGATTTCGCAGCAACGAGTAAGAACAACGCGTTACGTAGTATAACTTAACTTTTCACTCCGTACACTCACACACGGCTGCCGCTGACTTGCATTCTGGGAATTCGAGTATGCGGTCAGTCGTTTCGTGTCGTGTGGCAACGATTATACCGGATGATCTATGTCAGACTCGTATTTACGTGTGTGCAACCACCGCACATGGAAGGAACTTTTATGCGTGCCGACGATGAGTGTAGTCTTTCTCGTGGAACCTAGTTTTTTTTCCTTTTTTTTTTTTGTTCCTTTTCTTTCTTTTACTTTTCTCCTTAGAAACAGATTCTATCGATCGAACACAATCGTTCGATACGACTCGAAAGCGTGACAAAGACGGATATGGAAGATCCCTACATTTCCCTAAAATCAAATTTCCCCAATTTTCGACCGCTCGGTTCTTTGCTTCGGTCACGGTAAAAATCAATTTAAACGTAATGGGCGAGACAATGTAATGTAAATTCGAATCGGCACTCATCGAACAATTCCATTATGCGGTTATCGCGAATATTCCCGCGAAAATTTATCGAGGCTCGCCCTTCGAACCATACTTCAAAGAACAGTCGTGTTATCAATTAGAGTTCCGAGATCACGGTGTACGTAACGAAATTAATCTCCCCTTAATTAATAGCGTTAAGGCGCATCCAGCCGTGGTACGAGGCGGGGCACGAGTTTCCTGATTAAGACGATGATACGCGTTCTCGGAAGTGACAGCGGAGAAAGAGGGCCGAGAAAGGCACGGACACGCTTTATTGAAAATCTTGTGCAATTAAAACCACGAAAAACAATGTGTGCAATAAAACGTAATTGGGAAAGGAGAACCTTATTTCTTAAAAATCCCTGCCCCCTCGAGAGACAAGCAGTCGGAATAATTGTCAAAAGTTTCGAATCGATCGAGAGAACCTTTACGAGACGGTCGAGCTTCTTTCGAAACGATACCACATTTTCCTTATTTATTATATACAATAAATATGTATAATTACATTGTATATTGTAATAATAATAATATTATTATTATTAATTAATTAATATTTAATAATTGTATATTTAATATTCGATTGTTAAATTTATTGTTTCGAGAGAGTCGAATATATATATATATAATATATAATTATTATTTATATATTCAATTGTTATATTTATTTTCGCGTGCCGAATAACGACAAATTAGCCGACGGTGGTTGTGGACGACACGCGTTCTAAACAACCGGTAGACCGCGAACCTTTGTACTATATATATATATATATATATACTATACTATACTATATATATATATATACTATATCGACGTTTCAACGGAAATGAGAAACGCCTCACGGTATGTTGCCCGTTTTCCCCGCTTACCGAGAATTCGTAATTACACGGCACACACGCCACTTACAAGCGTTCTCCTGGCCTGCGCATACCGGGTGTCAAGCGGCCGAGCTCGGGTCGTGAAAAAAGAAGCGGCCGTTACGAGATTAGTCCTTAGACGGGGCGCGGGTCGTTTTTACTTTCGCGGGATTCACAGGTGTCCCTCGAAGGAAGCCGTTTCGCCCATTCGACCGACTGTAATTGTCAGCCGCTGCCCGTTCCGCCGCTTATACGTATTTTCGCGTTCCGACGGGTAACTGGTTTCCTCTTCTTCTCTCTCGAGTTGATTTCGATCGATCGATTTTTCTCGATCGATTTGTTTCGTTTCGTTAAAGTTGAGAGAAGAGGAAGGAAAAGGAGGAAAATTTGTTGCGGTGCGAATATTGATGCGTTCGCGAACGCGTCATCTGATTATCATTGCACACGCTGATGATGATAGCGTAACGTTATATGTCGCAATTGCATCATCGTTCTTGGAAAAATTGTGGCGCGACAGAGTGGAGAGACTGTCCGAGAGTTTTTATTGTTTCACCTGCCGACGTGTCTCGAATGAAAATAGTCCGCGACGCGATCAAAGGAAAATTTTTTTTCTCCTTGAAATTCGATATCGAGAGCTAAAATTAGGTTCATCGAACGAACGGACACTTGTTGCTCTTGTCGCGTTTACCACTCGTGATAAATGGAAGAAATTTCTTTGTTGCCTCTATATAACGCGAACTCCCTCCCTTCCTTCGGTATTCGAAAAAACTTTTACTTCATCGTTGCGATCGTTGCTTTCACGTTGGTATGTATGTATCTTCAATAACGAAGAAGCAGTTGTCTCGAAATTTAGCTTTCGTTGCTCGAAATACGACCCGTTATACGAATGGAATATAATATAAATGGAAGAATAAAGTTTTTTTATATATTCGAATTTATTTCTTACACGCATAATCGGATAATTATTAAACTTAATCGCCCCCAGAATCAACCTTTAATTATATCTAACAAATCTTTCAACGAGATATTATTGAGGAATTTGTTCAACGTTTTGGCAATGATCGGACTCGCGTAATTCGATATCTCAGTTTGATAATCGTCGAGTAATCCGGGTAGCACCTCGGTAATAACTTTGCTCAAAAGCTTGGACACCTCCTCGTCGTTGTATAATCCGGTGATTACGCACTGAAAAAATTGTAAAGTTTCAATCGTTGTCGTTTCAATCCTCTTCTCCGCACATATTACGGAGAACGACGGCACGATACTTACATTGCATTCCTTTAGATGGGCATGGAACACCAGATTCGAAATGTTCACTTTGTTATTATTTACACCCAACTTCAAGTCTATCGTTACGTTAAGACCTTTAATGACCGCGCTGAAATTAAAAAAGAAGAAGATAAGATTTTTTTCGTCGTAGCATTGTGTCGAATGCTGTATCTGTTGACCGATAACTTTCGAGTCATTCTTCGAGTTTGGAAAAAGTAGATAAATCGAGAAAACGATTCTCGATGCGATCCGTGAATTGTTGTAGAAATCTATCGTATCTACATCGAAGTATCGCGCGTCGGTAATGTCGGGAATCTACAGGGCCGACTGTAGTTTTTAAGCTTCGCCATTTTATCCAAAGATGTGATTACTCGCATTACTCGAGAGATACTTTTCCCCCCTTTTTTTTTCCTCAAAAAATATAAACGATTCACGGAGATTAAAGATAAAACGCAATCTTTTATCAAACTATCTTTCCGCTCTATATCGATTAATAACAATAATAATAATAATAATAATAATAATAATAAAGATGATAAAAAATATGAAAATATAAAACTTACCGGATATTTCCATTACCGAAGATGGAAAAACTATCGACGAGTGTGCCGGTTACATTGTAATCGGTCATAATATTAATTTGATTGAAAAGAAGGCCGATGTCGCCTTTAAGACCAATGAGCGTAAAATCGCCTCGATTTACTTCGTAATCGGATAAACCGTTGGAACGTAAATTTTTCAGTATTCCCTTTAATCTGTTCGACGAGAAAAAAGAAAAAGAAGAAAAAGTCAACGCTTGTCATTCGACATTTCCGTTTTCAATTAGAAACGCGTATGTATATACGCTTACGAGATCAAACCCTTCTCGTTCAAATCGATATTCATATTCTCGATTCGAAGAGGATCGAGAACGGGGATACAAAGCTTGCTGTTTCCCTTCTTTATGTATTCTTTCAATTTTTCAAGAAATCCAACCAGTTGACCTCCTTTGTTCTCGTATTCGTCGTATTCGTTGTTTTCTTAATTTGGAGGAGGGGGGAGAAAAAAAGCAAATAATTTTTGGATAAACCGGTTCGATTTAAGATCTTTTAGATCGAAAAGACAAAAATCGTTGTTACACTTACGATACATCTCGACCACGGATGACGCATGACAGGTGATCAACACTGTGGCTAAAACCAATACGAAGAGGCGCATCTTGCTAAAAATGAAAACGAAACGAAAGAATCTCTTCACCGTTTGAAATCGATAATAAGATAAACTCGATGGTACGATTATTTTCAACGTTGGAA